CCCCCCCCGCCCCCGGCCCCCCCAGCTCACACACCCACACACCACCACCGACGACTAACGTATATGTAATTGCATCGCGTTGTTACTGTCCACTGCGGCGTACCTGATTCAAATTAGCATCTGCTTCGCGTTGCCCCGCCAACTACGGCGTACCGCTCCGCCCCTGCGTTGTATGCTAGGTCAAAGGTCTGACGACTACGGCACGCGTCTACATGAGTACACCCCCGCCCCACACTCGCACACACAACCCGACGATTATAGGTAACTGCACCGCGCTCTTACTGTAGCTCGTCCACTGCGGCGCACGTGACTCAATATAGCATTGCCCCGTCGACGCACGCGGGGTCAGGTCTTGCGAGGTGTCGGTGGAGTGCGGGCCCGAGGACGCCCTCGTCGCCGCGGAGGAGATCGAGATTGGGACCTACCACCTCAGACTGGAGACCCCTCTGGCGTGCACCGAGGCTCACGTGGCGGAGGCCGAGCTAGGGCTGGAGGCCCTTGGCTTGGTTCGGCCGTCGGCGCGGGCGGGGCTGCGACCTGAAGAGGAGGGAACCTTTTCTTCTTCGGGGAGCGTGGAGGGATGTGGCACAGCGGGCGCAGCAGGCGTCTGCGCCAAGCGGGAGTTGTAGTTGTGTTCTTAAGCAGGCATGGCCACCATGTACACAAGAGAGAACTAAGTGTTTTCGGGTTTTATTGGAAAGCTGGGAGCCGTGGGAGTGAGTGAGCGTTCTACGAAATTAACGAACTCCTAGATGCGACAGACGTGGTGTGCCCCGCCTACCCAGAATATCTCAGCTGTTGGTTGGTGTGTCGAAAGTAAAAGGGATATTGCCTGCTTGTACCTCGGCATGTACATGCCGTGCCGTTTTCGCGTACAAACTTTGTAGGGGTGTACGCGGTATCCAGACTCTCGCGCTTGATGTGGGCATCAGCTCGTGTCAGATGTAGGACACCTACCTACTCCATCGGCTCTGATGCATGTGTACAAACAACGCAAGATGTATCTCCACACGTACACTCTTACGCTTCGCCTGCTGTCCTCCAGCGAGGCGCCCACTAAGCCCCCAACACACCACCTGGCTTGTTTGTCGGCATTATTGCGGGAGTTTCGTCTGCACGACACGCGCAAACTCGCCGACCCATGTATTCCCACGCACCCCTCTCGTATATTCTCGAAATCATTGAAAGGCCCGAAAGCACACCAGCAAACATAAAGAGCGAACACCACAGCACATAAAAACGAAAATGATCAGGTCTCATCAGTGTTTTATTCTCAGGTACATTTTTCTTCCTCACACATTTAACATGCCACGCCACAGAGTGCGCTTTTGATCTACACACGACCCGGCCGAAGAAACCGTCAACGGCAAGCAATGTTCCCGCTACCACACCGTATACAAGCGACACCGCACCAAAAAAAACGGGGGGAGGGGGGTGGGGTGGGGGGGGTGGATCGTTCCCTTGACTCCGTGGAATGAAGAGTCAAAAGTTCCCCGACGCAGCACCAGGGGAAGCGCTAGCTTCCTTCCCTGTGGCAAGGCGGGGAACGCCAAGCAAGCGTGGTCGAGGCCCAACCCGAACCCGTACAGTAGGTTTCTTCGAGCACGACCACGCCTCCGGGGACACGCCTTCTCGCCGAGAGAAATCAAACCAAACGGTCCGCGGCTGCCGGTGGATGGGCCGTGAATTTCACAGGGAAAAAACACACCATTCCTCCGACACCGTTGGAAAAACATGTTCGACCTACGACAGTTCGCCGGGCAGTGACTACACTGCATGTTGCGTCTGTCACAATATAGGAGATTTGAAAAAATATGCTTGCCCTCGTCAAAAACCAGAGGGGAACAAAAGGCGCAACTCTTCACGCAACTAACTTCCCGACAGAAAACTACATGTAGTGCCTCAAGCCTGAAGCCTCGAGAGCGCAGGCCACCGCCCGCGGGCTACAGTAGCGGTAGAGCCGTAAGACACAACTCAGCGCACCTGAGCGCGTGTCGCTTTTTAAAGGTCAAAACGCCCAACATATCGCCTCCGACATCCACAAAACGCCCCAAAGACATCGCCTTCGACATTCACAAGACGCCAAAATATCGCCACCGACACCCACGCCGCGGCAGGGACCCACAGAGGGACGAACTACACCTTACCGCCCCCCCCCAAGAAAGTATGCCTTCCACGTACCTGGGAGCGCCAATTTTACTTGCTGGGGCTTTGTGTTTTGGTTGTACCAACGTGTTTTTAGTACCCTCGCTCCCGGCGGAAGGCCTCGATGCTGTTTCGAAGAGCGTGGTTGGGCACCGCCATCTTGCTGTTGAGGTGCGCGTTGGACATGGGGCTGGTGTCGTGATTCCGCAACCAGGCCTCCAGTGCCCCGCGTTCGTAGCTGTGCCCGTCTTCGCAGACCACGGGATCGATCATCACCTGACGCGTCCATATCGTTACCAAAAGGAGGCGTTCAAGCAAGGGGGCGCAACAGGTGTTCCAGGGCACGCACGCGCGTCAGGGCTGGTAGTCTTCGTGTTTCAAACGCGCCTCGGTCAACGCTCAAGGGGTGGGCAAAGAGATGAGGTTCCCGGCCATGAAGTTAACCCTCCGTGTGGCACAAAAAGCAAGGGCTGCTACATCAAAGGGCGGTACATACCGTATGTACGGTTACGGATACCGCATGTATGGTTGTGGAACCATCCACGTACAGTAGGGATTGCGCCGGTTGAAAAATCATGAACTAGAAAAGAACAGGTGCAAAATAACACCGACGCACAGGGTCGGTGTGTGAGGGTGGAGGTGATCGGAAGAAGAGCAAGGTGGGCGTCGGCCCTCGTCGCTATTTGACCCCAGGCCGCATGCAGCCAACCTTCCTGAGCTTGAGGATTTGCCTCATCATAGACAATCATCCGTGCAGGGGCATTTCGACCAAAACCTTCTGCAACAACATCCTGCGCGAAAATATGCTGACCACGAGGCTGTGCGACAAAACCGCGGCCCTCAAGAGATGTCGGGCCCACTACAAGCATCGTATACATGCCCAACGAACAAAAACAACAATGACCAACACATCCCAAACACCCCCACTCACCCCCCCAAACAACAACCGCTCACCTCCAGGGTCAAGGGGCAGATGAAGTCCTGAGGGACGCCCTCATCCTCATCCAACTCCGAAGGCGGGGCGCTTGGGGGCGCGCTCCCCGACATGACCATGTTCACCGGCGCCATGCTCGGAGCCGACCCGGAGACCCCTCCACCGGCCACCGAGGCCGCCACCGAGGTTGGACCGCTTCCTGGAGCCCCAGCGCCTGTCATACCGGTACCACGGCGTTTGATTTTTGCGAGATCATTTTAGTACAACTTTTGCTGATATGATACAAGCGAGCTGCTGCAGCGAAGTGATGGTAACTCGTCGTTCGCCGCCCACAAGCCTTGACGATCTTTATTGAAAGCGTAAGGGGAAATGAATGAACGACAGAGCTAAAAAGGCGCCAGACGGATCGTGTCGCAGGAGGCGTTCTGGCTGTCAGAGGCAGGAACCGAGCAAGCGAACACACACCAAGAAGCCAACAGTGTCTGCTATCCTACACCTTCTCATTCCCAATACGACAACATACATGTACATCGGAACTTCCTCCTCCACCACCTGACGACACGAACTTGCTCCATATCCACCTCACCTTCCATGATGCCAAGGGCACGGATGGCGCGGTACTGGTCCGGCACCTCAGCGAGAGCAGACAGCGCCAGAGCTTCCGCGTCCCCGTACTTGAGTCGCCGGTGCTCCACGAACCGGAAGTTGTCGTACCGCCTGTCGACAGCATCATCGTCGTTAACCACATCAACAACAACAAAAAAAAACATGAACGACAAATGCAACAAAAACAACAAGGACGGGAGAGCGTAAAGCGTGCACCATGTCGCAACAAGGTGCCGTTTCGTTGTGGACAGACAGTTAGACCCTGGGGTTACCCCCCTGCGGAGCAACAAAAAACGGCATGCTGCGAATAGATTTTGTTTTGTTTTTGTTTGAAGCGGGCACACAGACAGCAGTCCTAATTACTTGAGCAAAGACAAGGAACTGGCAATCAAAAATGCGCGAAGACGGCGAGGAGATGGCTCTTGTCAATCCACAATCACCTGTAATTATGCTATAGCTAGAGAAGTAGCGAAGCCGACTTCCGTTTGGTGGTTGATCCCGAAACGACGGAAATTTCGGCTGTTGACGCAGCTGGCGCGAATACCGAGACGAGGGTCAAAAATCGCCTTCGCTACTTCTCTAGCTCTGGTTTCTGCGCACACAGCTAAAAAAAACGATCCCCGATTGACCTAGAAGCCGACGAGTGGCATTGATTACCAGATCACCTCCTATGGCTAAGGGCGGTGGAAAAAACAAGGGTCGCGTCAAGCCCAAAAAAAAAAACTTCAAAAACTTCACGACTTCTCTTCTCGAGAGAGAAGGATGCACGTTTGCGGACGCAGCGACGGCTGGGCGCGCACGCAAGGCTGCCGAGAAGGCCGTTTACCCTACCCTGAAGCGTACGGCCGCTGCTACCCTCGACAAACTCAAAAAGGCTCAGTTGGCGAAGCGTAGAGAGGCTCGAGTCCGCAAATCGGCGGAGCAGGCCGCAGAAGAGGAGCGACAACTGCTGTTGGCGCGAGAGCGAGTCCTGCGCGCCGATCTGAAGAAGGAGCTTGGGGAGGAGCAGCGACGTAGAATCGAGGCGGAGCAACGGGCGCAAGCAGCGATCGCACGCGAGCAGGCCTCGGAGCATCAGAGGCAGCAGCAGAGGGCTGCTGATGGAGAGGCGGTGGCGATCGTCCTGACCCAGCTGGGAAACTTGCGGTTGGAGAAAAAAATGCTTCAAGATCAACAGCGCGAGATGGTTGAGATTTTTTGTCCACAAGCGGCAAGCGTGATGGCGGTGCAGCAACAGCAGCACAACCGGAATCCGCTGCTTTCCGCGAAAGACCAGCTCATCCGCACCCGGATGGAGGTAGAGCAAGCGAGGAGGGAGCTGGAGGCGGCGTCGGCGTGGGGAAAGGTTGCCGAGACGAGAAATGCTAATTTGAAGAAAAAGGTGCGTGCGTGCGTGTGTGTGTGTCTTTGCCCTCGTGTGTTTTTGGCTTTGCTGTTCCCTTCTAGTGCGACTACTTCGTATGCCTCCGAGTCCTACAGGTTGATAGAACCAACATAAGCAGGACGATACCAAGAGAGGCAGGCGAAGCTGCATGCAGCTGCTATCATCGACAGACTTGGTGTTGAGAGCGAGAAAATACAGCAGGAGCAGCAGCAGCGCGCATTTTTTTTGTTTTCCCGCTCTCACAACCGCCCTGCTGTTTGCCCGTTGCCCTTTTCTTTTTTTCGGCAACAGAACGGGCGGGTCCGCCGTCGAAGCGGGCGGGTTCGCCGTCGAACCGGTGGGGTCCGCCATCTATGACCGGTCGGGCTGTGGGGTACTGGCTTTTTGTGTGTGCCAGCAGCCTCAGTGAGCGCAGTGACGGGTGTCCACCTCGCGCATTGCTGCGTGAACGCGCTTGGACCATATTTGTCCAGTCTGTTCGTGTGTGTTCGTGTGTCTTATTTTTTTTATTCAAATTCCGAACGTTTTTATTGGTCCAAGAAGGAAAAGCGCAGTCTATTTGCCACGAAAAGTTCACCCGGTTTGGGACACATTTTTGGCCTCAAAATAGGGGTAACCCCAGGGTCTAACAGTTACGACAAAGACGATCAGGGCCGGGGGTGAGGAGAGGGGAGGTGGGTGTGGAGGCTAAATAGATCAGGGCGGCGGGAAACCGGATAAATAGTCTTAAGCACCGGCAGCACCAGCGCCACCAGCACCACCAGCACCAGCCCCAGAAAAGTACAGCCGCCAGAGGGCGGTCTCATCGTAAATACCAGCCGGGATTGATTCTTCCCCGCCACAACCTTCTCCCTTACACAAGACCCTCCAAAAAGGAAGAGGCCCGCATTGCCAAAAGTACCGACACGCATGCAGCGTAGTGCAGTGCATCACGCTGTGGAGGGGAGGAGTGCGAGAGCTGGGCTGCTGCCGTTGCTGCTGTGATTGGTCGGATGACGGATGACTCACCTGCCGGGAAGTCGGTTGTCGAACTCTCGGCACGTTTCCCAAGGGCCCTCCCCGACCCCGACCATGATGATGCTCAGAGGGTAGTTGGAGGCGTCCTGGATCGCTCTGACCGTGTCGCGTTCTTTCGTCACCTGTCGTAGTACGTCAAACATCGGGGTTGCGCGGAACGGGAGCGGGGGGGGGTTACTCATGTTTTGCATGCCATCGTTATTTGACTATTTTCCACGCGTGTTCGAGAGGGCGGAGCATTATTCCCACAAGACCGATCACCCATGGCCAATCAACCCTTCCTACTTAGCAAAACGTGGCTCGAAAATTGTTTTCGGGGCGGGTAACATCAGCAACGGCGAGCAGG